CACCGTAAGATCGGAGCAAAATGTTTAAATATCAATCTAAAATATTAGTGTAAATGCTTATGTACACACAGCAATGTACTCACCAACACCAAACAGACTTAATGACAGAAAAATTGCGTGTAAATGTATTCAGAGTGTCTAAACCTAAGTGTCGATAAAATGCACTAAAATTATATATGTTTAATTACCACCCAGACGGTAGAGTGGTTAGGGGAGCCTGGCTATGATAACAAAGGGCCCGAGTTCGAATCCCGGAAAGGCATGGATGTAAAATTGTCTGTCCCTTTCATAGGAGGCATTAGTAGCCGCCTATTAGCTACCTCCACAATAAAATGGCCACTTCTTCTGGCCGTAGTAGTGGCCAATGCTGTTATAAGCAATTGCTTGCCATTGGGAAAATTATATATATATATATGATTAATTATACGTACCAGTGAGGAATTTTTATGTGTATTGTAATACTTTTTGTATAAAAAGTGTAAATGTCATGGTAAAAATCTATGTAATATGATTATGTAAGTGCAACGAAGTATACATTAGTGCAAATTAGAGGTTTTGTATTAGTGTATTCTCAATGTTTAAACCCATGTGCGCATAAAATGCACCAGGGCAATTTATGTTTATAAATGTGCAACAGTGAGTAATTTATATGTCTCAGAGTAAAATCAATATGAAATATCTAAATATCAGTGTAAAACTTTTAAAAATTATAACAGTGTGTAGAGTTATTAGGTCTTTTTTTTTAAACTAGAGACATGAAAAATGTGCATTGCCCTAGCCGGAACTCGAAACAGGATTTCTAGCACGCGCTGAGTGTGCTACCATTACACTACGAAAGCATGCAGAAAGGAAGGAGAAAATACTTATTTTATTTAAGTACTATTTTATTTAATTATTAACTCCTGTATCAAGAAACAAAAACCAATACTTTTGTTATCCCTAAACAAAGCAAAATCTCAGGGGATCTAGCCAGTTAAAGGCTTATTAACTATGTTTCTTCAGCAGGGAAAATTTTGAAAATAATCCTGAACATAGTAGTGACATGAAGAATTCAAAATCTCATGAATAAATGAATCCAGTGCCGACCGTTTGATTTCTGAAAAGGAGTTGAGAATCATAATCATTAGCTTAATGAAAAAATAGCATACGTTTTCAGGAAACAATATTCTTTATTTAACAATTAGAAAACTCCTCAGTTTGCTTATGAAAGTTAATAATAATTTCAGAAGCACCTGGTGTTAGACATTAAGACACACCTTCTGAAATAACACAACGCCAGGCTGTTTTCTATTGCAAATATCTGTGAAGTCATTGTCTATGCTAGGAACTGAACTATAGTTTACCTTATTAAATTTACGAAAGAATTTCCTTGCGAGTTTGGCGATAAACAGAGTTTATGAATTAAAATTGAAAGATTCTATCTTTGGCGTTTCCGTGTGATGATCCCTTCCGATGACGGATAATGATGTCATATTCCTGGAGTCTTTGTATCCACCTGGTTATTTGACCTTCAGGACTATTGAAATTTAAAAGCCAGGAGAATGATGCATGATACGTGCGAAGCAGGAATTTTCTGCCGTACAGATAATCATGGAAATATTCTATGGCTTTGAATATGGCAAGCAACTCTTTCCTAGTGACACACTAATTCCTCTCCGGTTTGGACAGGCACTTGCTCCAGTGAGCCATTATACGTTCTTGACTGTCTATTTCTTGGGACAAAACAGCACCGAAACTTTCATTGTTCGCGTCCGTGTCGAGAATAAATGGTCTGTTGAGCTGAGGATACCTCAGGATTGGAGCAGATGTTAAAGCTTCGTTTAAGTTGTTATTCTTTTGTTGTTATTCTTTTCCTCGTATTCTTTTGTCCACAAGAACGTTTGCTTGCTTTCTGTCAGCTTGTGAAGGGGTCTTGCGATGAAAGAAGAGTCCTTTACCAATCTCCTGTAGTAGGTGCAAAGCCTTAAGAAGCTACTCAGCTGATGAACATTTTCGAGACGTTTCCAGGCTTTAACCGCTGACACATTTTCAGGATCCGTGCACACACCTTCTGCAGAGATGACATCACTTCCTGTCTGAATAATTTACATTTAGCGGGACTCAACTTTAAATTGGGTTCTTTTAGTTTTTGAAGCAGCTTTCTAAGATTTTCTACATGTTCTTCAACTCTTTCCGACGATGATGATGTCATCCAGGTATATCAGACAGGATTTGTAAGAAAGACGTTTCAAAACAGTGTCCCTTAGGCTTTCAAATGTAGCCGGCGCATTGCAGAACTCAAATGGCATCACCTTGAACTGCCAAAATCCTTGTGCCGTACTAAATGCCGTCTTTTCTTGGTCATCAGGGTGTGTTTCTGCCTGCCAATACCCACACTTTAAATTAAATGTTGAGAACCACTTGCTTCCAGAAAGAGTATCCAAAATGTCGTCAGTTCTAAGAAGAGGGTAACTGTCTTTCTTCGTAACCTCATTCAACCAGCGATAGTCAACGCAAAATCTTGTTGAGCCGTCTTTCTTTCTGACGAGGACGATGGGAGATGCCCATGGACTTGCTGAAGGCTCGATGAGATCGCCTGCTTCCATATCCTTTAAAAGTGTTCGTACCTCTTTCTGTTTAGCAATCGGTAGACGCCTTGGATGTTGTTTGATTGGTGGATGATCACCGGATTCTTTAACGGATTCTTAGCCTGCTTTCATCTCTCCTTTAAATGAAGCAGAGGCTGCAATCAGCTGTCTTAACTGTTCTTCCATCGCTCTTGTGACTGACATTCAAATCCCCCATCTGACACCAAAACGTTTTGCGTGCATACGGGCTCGCAATAAATTGAATGCACAAGTTCGATTAAAAGTAAATGAAATTTATTCTTATCACAAAAAATGAAACAAAATGCTGAAATTTCTTCAGAGATATCTGTACAATATCGTAATATCTTACAGTAGTTATATCTTAAACTACCAAAACGTTTTACAGAACACAACTCAAAGTAGAGAATCCGATCTCACCGTGAATTCGTTACAGTCAACAACAGCAGTTTTCTTAAAACAACAACTGAACTGACATGTTTTCAGCCAGCTTTTATAAGCTGTTTAAATTTAAAAGCTGTTGTTGTTAAGAGAATATTCTGGTATTTTCGCAATTTTTTCCGGAGAGCAAAAGAGTACAATTACGAGATCTCTATTTATTAAATGCGCGTGGTCCTGTATTTTTAATTTTTCCGGACTAGCTTTTTCTTCAAATAAGTTTCGTGCCGCATTGCACGCGATACAAAACAATTTAATAACAATTCTACTAAAAATTAGCAAGTTAAATACAAAGTCCGTAGCAATATATATCTGTCTGTGTTTGTGTGCGTGATAATTTGGGAATGATGCAGATTTTGAAACGCACATAATGAAGAATTTGATGATTGGTAATGAATAATAAACTTGGAAGTCGTATAGATGCAGTAAGACGAAGTCATAGCAGGTTTAAACCCTATTTCGTTTACTGCAGTTAAACATTTTACGGCTACAAACATATTGGCACACTAAACGTGCCTGTTCGAGAACATGTATGATTTTGATATAATTTTTTTAAAGGAGCAGCAGCAAGTAGAAGTCTAGATAGGTCGAGATACAGAAAGCAAGTGCCTAGTTATTCAATATAGAAGCTTAGTTAAGAGAAAATTTTGGTTCTGGAAATTTAGTGTTCCAAATTAGCTATGTTATAATCGTTGTGTAAAAGCCATACGATATGGAATAAACGGAAATCACGCAGTCTAGTAACTGCTTTAATACAGTAAGGAGAAAGACAGAAATGGAAAAAAAAAAAAAACAATTAAAGGTCTATTGTTAATTTAGGTTATAATTTTGTGATACTTAACATTTTTTTAACTCATGCTCATCCAAAAAGATTCCGTGTTTCCGGTTTGCACTTAGCCTCTCTACATCTTCATATTACTTTGATATTTTCTACCAAATGATGTATCCAAACATTCTGAGGGGGGGGGGAACCTCATACTGATGGGATGAAGTTTCTCTACATTGTCACATGATTTCAGCAAACCTAAATGAGGCGCTATAATAGCTGTTCAAGTTTTTTGTGTGAAAAGTGCTTGCATGGCAACTATATTTGAAAGTAGAAAACTGGCACGTATTCATCGGAATATAACTTCTTGCTTCAGCGCTCTGGTTATTCCTGGAAGCTATGTAAGAATCTTTCTTTTGATATTTCTCTTAAATAATCTGATATCGATCAAAGAAATCCAAACTTCATTTCTCAGATACTCTTTACTTACGAGTAAATGTAACATCACGCTGAACGATCAGAAAAGTTTTAACTTCGTTTACATTACAACATGAACTCTGCTATTCGAAGTGATATCACTGTTAGAAAAATCTAGAGAAAGTATATTTAATCTTTTGGCTTTTATAATCGTTTGCAGAAGAGCATACGAGGGCTGTATGCTGATATTTGATCTTTTAAGTATTTACTTCATTTTTAAATTTTTACTTCCTATATGATTCATTAGTATTTTCGAAAAATGTTTGTATAAAGTTCAAATTAAAACCTTTTTTTATGAGACATGACCTTGTTCCAACTAAGCTTGGCAATGTTTCATAATTTGAATCGGTTACTCAAGGCAGAAGAAGAGCAATCACGTTTTCTAATTTTGCTTCATACAATGGCCGAAATCCACTTCTATTTTAACACAGTTTTAAAATGCTGTATTTGAATAAGCATACAATAATGTGGTTTTCAAGTTTACTTCTGTACTTAGATAACTGACGTAGATTAATCTATTGAAAGAAAAGCGCAAAGCATAAAAATCATATTTTTAAAGAATTTCATGTAACTTAAATGCAGTTAACATTTTTGTCCCAAAATATTGGTAAAATATCGGTATTAGATAGAGTTTACAATCTTGAGCATATGTTAAATAAGGGAAAATATGAACATATGTCTACAAGATGAATAGGGAAGAAAGATATGAAAGTGTACAAATAAGTTACTTATTATAGCTTAATATTGAATATTATTTTATTAGTGACAATACGTAGTTATCTTGCTTCAGATAGTGAGTACATTAGCTATTTAATTTATGTACACAAGAATATTACTTTAAATTTTACTTTACAAAGTATTCTAACAGTTGTACATTTTCTTAACTCGTTCAATATCTGAACTGGTCATTCCATTCTTGGAATAAGGATTGGTAAGAGGTGTTCCATCTTTAGCTTCCATTGTGTTTGATTGGCCATCTTTAGAGAAAGCTGTGTTTCCGTAGATCATAATGGATCCGTAATCAAAAGAAGTCAGCAATAAATTCTGAGACGGGGATAATTTAGCAAAATTGTACTCTAAGCCTGAAAAAAAAAAAAAAAAAAAAAAAAAAAAAAAAAAAAGGATAAAATGGAATTATAGTTTATTCATATATTTATTGAGATTTGACAACAAAAAGCAAAGTTTTGACAATATCTTCTTACCTTGATGGACATTTTCGAGATAGACATTGATATAATCGTCTCTGTCCGATCTATTCTGTTCGTGGTAAAATCCCAGTGCATGCCCCAATTCATGTACAACAGTCCCTGTGAACATGCAGCCATCACCTAGAGACACTGGTTGTCCGCCACCAATCTTTCCGACATGAGAATAACACCTGTTGTAAGTAATAAATATTTCTGAATTAAAATAAGTTGAACTGAGCCCAAACATGTATAATTTTCGTTTCAGAAGAAAATATTCTTAACCAGCGTTTCCCAAAATGAAAGTCCCAAACCAGTAAAAGTAAACCCAACCAGTAGTCATTTCTTTGATGCTCCCATAGAGACCGACCTAAAGCACGCACAACCTTCTTTCTGTTAGTGTGAGATACCAGTTGCAGCAGTTCTATCATTTTGGCGGAAATCATAGTTACAGAATCATACACACTAATAAGCCGGTTTAAGCTCTTAATGCCGGAAAAAAAGGATCGTTAAGCGGATCGAACAAAAAAATATCATACGAAATATTATGAAAAAGCACACTAATAGCATAAGTTAAAAACAGTATTTAACAGTGAAGTACTCAGACAGAAGAGAAACACTCCCAAGTAAAACATAAAGTTAACTAGCACAACAACCTTGTGTTTGGCGTACATTTTACTCAAGGCTGTATTTATTTAGACGGCCAACAGATACAGATCTCTCTTCGTCAAGAGAAAAGAAATCTGCAACACAGCAATAGCCCCAGTAGTATTTATACCCAAAAGGAGTAAAACTAACGAGAATATAGTGTCATCTGTCGGCAGAAAGAACAATAAAATTGAAAAATTAAGTTAATAGAATTTTAATTGCGTTAGATTGAATTAGAATTAAAGTTATCAACTAAAAAGACAAATCTTTGTCAATGTGAAAAGCGTCAAGAAAATTCAGTTTATCAATGAGAGAAACTTCTTGTATAACTTTTACAGATCCAATTAAGGAAGATAGATTAAGTCAAAACTCTGAAAAAAATTTCCAACTACCTGCTGAAGATATTTTAATTTCGACATATTTGATATAAAATTCATGTTCCTTGATGTTATATTTTAATGCTTTTTTATTTGACGGATATATCCTAAACCCCACTGAAAAGATATGTGATAAATTCACCAAGAAGTAAAGTCAGAAATAGAAACTTTAAGAGCAGAACCATGCAACAGGAAAGCAAATGACTTGAAAATGGAAGTTTCTGAGAGTTCTGTTACTGACAGAAAGATGAAATGGAAGCGTGATAAGCACAATTTTTTAAAGCATCTCCATTTTTCGCTTAAATACATCAGAATATTATTTCCAAATGTATACAAGTCCATTGTTATCTCAAGTTTCCTATTAACATTTAGAAAGTTTTGCATTAATTCAAATAGTCACTTCTTCGCCACATTATAAACAACACGCGCAAACGTCTCTCTCAAATTGAATGTGAGTTAAATTACTTTCATTAAAAAAATGCCAGTTCTAAAATTTTCTCTCAATTGGTCAATCTTGGTCTAGAACCGAAAGCGCTTGTCAATGTTATAAAAACGTCATTTCTAGTTCTCAAATTCGAGAAACTCACTCCGCAGTCGGCTGCTTCTGCCCATACTGTTAATCATCTCATTGTAAATACTAATTTAATTTTTCATATCTATAATGTTAATTAGTCGGAGGATTAGATGAGAGTATAAAAATATAACGTTAATTTTTCAAAGCCATCAAAACTTCAGCTTAATTGTAGTTCTAACGTTATAATTTCCAAAGCTGATAAAGGTGGACAGATCGTTGTTCTGGGCAAACACATATACGTTGATGAAGTCAGAAAAATGATAAATAAAGGCCCATACTCAGTCGTCTCTAAAGACCCTTCAGCTTCTGACTTCACGAAAGTTAGCTGTTTAAGCACCTCTTGTACTATCAACTCTCTTAGCATAGGAGCCTTCACGTTTATCATAAAACTCTTCCTTAATTGTATCGCATTGTCATTAGTAGGTGCATGTACACTGATAATACTAATATTTTGAGGAAAACCTCGAATCCGCCCTTTACAAATCCTTTCATTTATAGATTTGAAGTCTATGATTCTATCTCGTAATTTCCTAGTTACTACAAATCCTGCAGCAAAGCAGAGCTGCTTACCTTGAGAGCTATATACAACACTGCATCTTCTTTTATCCAAAATTCCTTGGCCGAGCCATCTAATCTCCTGAATGGCTAAAATTTACAATTCTCAAACATATCACTCTTATAGAGTGGACATAATACGCACATCTAGTTGATATGTACTATGTCCACTCTAGTTGATATCTAGTTGACTAAAACATCTAGTTGATGTTTTAGTCAACTAGATATCAACTAAAACTATCTAGACTAAAATCTATATCTAGACTAAAACTATATCTAGACTAAAACATCTAGTTGATATGTTTGATCATATCACTCTTATAGAGTGGATCTATATCACTCTTATAGAGTGGACATAGTACGCACATTCCAATACGCAAGTCCATTGTCGTTACACGTCGTGTGAGTGGTATCCGTCCATGATTTAGCCCTAGAGATTTCTGAACCGTAATTTTTTTACAGGGTGGGATAGTTAGCCCATGGAGGTCGGAAGTAACTTTACAAATCCTTTCTTTCCTCCATGAGTTAGCCCACGCCCAACCCCAACCTACAAGACCTCTGCACTAATATAATCCGCAGGGGCAGATTTCCCGGCTAAACCTCCGGACGGTGAGTACTTATTTCAGTCACCTCATGCGACATGCATGAGCTACACTGAGACTATTCATTCTGGTGGTCAGACACTATCCCGTGCAAAAATCAACAGCTATTTAAAAAGATTATGGTATCATGTACCAATTTATTAAACAGTAACAGATATCATATGAATTAACATTTGCTTGGTTTTTTTCCCTTCTCAGTTACAATAATGTTTAGGTTCGTTTAAATTATATATACTTTCTAAATTTGAACTATATTTAACCCATTTTTTTCCATAGAAAGTTAATATTGCGGAACGCAGTTACGCCATATGCACAATGTGTTTATTTATCTAACCGCTGCGTTCGGCGACTGCGTTTAAGATATTTCAGAAGTTAATCTTGTTACGTTATTTTGAGAATGTTATCCTTTCGAGCAGCTTTTATGTGTCTTAATAAAAAAATATGATCAATGTATTTTGGGGAAATTCAGTAATATTTCTAGATGTCTTCATATTACTGCTTATATTTCTGGTACTTTTCATTTATAGCCTTCATAACATTTTATACCGAATAATAACTTACGAAAGCTGATGTGGAGAAGTAATATCTTATGTTGTGTTAAATAGGAGACATATGCAGCTAGAGATGGGATAAATCAAGTGTATTATGAAAGAATTGCTAAATGAAGGGCCATGCAGTATTTTTCCTGCATTATCTTATTAGAAAATTGCATTTCGCATGGCGTATAAAAGTGGTTAGAGCAAAAATCATGCTATAATTTTATTTTTCATCACACAAGTTTGCGATCGTATTGTTTTCTGTTATAAACAGACACTAAAAAGAGAAATAAAAATTAGAATGTCGCGAGAAAACGATGTGTAATGTTTCTGAAATTACATTAGATTGTCGCTAACAGAAGCCTTGTTTCATATATTTCCTTGGTACTAAGATGGAAAGAAGAGATTTCAGCTTTATTTTCTGATCGAAATATTTGTCATGCTGTTTAAGGTTCTAAGCACGGGTTTCAGGTTCTTTTACTGGTAAAATATAAAAGGGGCTCAAAGCCCACTTACACCTTCAAACTTGCAACGGCCGAGGTTGCTCTTCCTCGCTCTTCTTTCTTTCAATGATTAAAGAAAAGGTGAAAAAAAATCTCTCTGCCTCTCGGGAAAGAATTTTTAAAACCTCGGCTTCTCAAAAATGAAGACCGCTCCAAATTCAGCGTGGGTTTAAATTAGTTATAATTTTTATCCATTCATATTCTTTTTTAAATTATTTTAAGCCAACCAGAAAAGGGTGATAACTGAAGCCGTTTTTCCAAGAACAAGTATAACCCCCTCCAAATGATGACAAACCCTATTTTTTTTTAAGCACGACTCTGAGGAATATTTTCAACTTCTCCCCAAGAAAGAAACCCGTATTCAGTAGTAAAAGTTGAGGAGAAATCCGCAGCTGTAGTCCCCGAACTTTGAATCTAAAAGTGAATATCAGTCTGGGAAAAGAATTCCACGTTATCAGCCATACTACACCTTTCACCAGCCCTCCAAGAGCTTAACGCATTCAAGAGAATGTTTAAATTACAATACATTAAATTCATTAAGAATTAGTACAAAAATTATTAAATTCATTATAACCTAATAAACAGCTATTCCTATATTCTATATTAAGTTTATTATATACTATGAATTAGTACTAATATGCCTCAGACTTTCCTAAAATATGAGAAATGTTTACTTGATTGGAAAGACAGTATTATAACTTGTGTATTTTAAGCATTTACTGTGTAAATTTATGTTTTTATTTTAAACATTTACTATGCAAACTATGCAATTTTATGTATACATGTACAAGAGAAATTCATAAAATATTTATAATTACCCTTGTCCACGGAAGATTCTGATATAATCCTGCTGATTAGTCCTGGGAACGAAGCGGACACAGGTGTTATCGTGATAGTCCTGCATTCCTTTTAGAATGACGCTGGTGAAAAAAGCTATCGAAGAGTGAAATAAAAATAGGTATGAGCACTATGTAATAAACTTAAATATTAAAACATAATATGTTTCACATTTTCATTATATTTTTATATTAGGAGCTGTGTTCTTTTAGTTACAAATGCATGATTATTTAAAAAATGGAAATCTAATACTTTATCATTCTATTTCGAGATTAGTACAACTATATATTTTTCTTAATGCTTTCTTTTTAGAAGTATTGCGTTCTTAGCTAATCATTAAGATGTATAACGTGTTGGATCATGATGCACCACACAGGGTTAGAGTAGATGGAGCTATAAAATGTTATAAAAATGTAATGAACAAGCTGGGATCGAAAACTCCTCTAAATTGCCATCAAGTCTAAACGAATAATGCAGAGAAGAAGCACAGTAATTTTAGTTTAATAATAAAAATCAATTCGTACTCTTTTAAAATTTGCACAATGTTAAAAGCACTTTATTCTGGGTTAAAATATAACGGTATCAATTAAAAGTTTACAATAAAAGCCTCTATCTTTAAAAAATAAAGATTAAAATGAGGATTGATTCCAATTAATTGAAATAGAGATGGATCCTTCAGCTAAAATATTTCATTCTAAAAGATTTAAGATTTGTATAGCTTGGGATATTATCTGCTTTTATCATTCGCCGATGGGTAATCTGGCAGTGATCAATCCGTAAGCGTGTAAAAAGGACTTCTTTTCGATATTTACTCGTGATACAATACACGATTTCAGGCTTCACATGGCGTGGCTTATTATTTATTTATGTCCTCTTGTGCTTTTGCCATTTTTGAAAAACTTGCTGCTTTACATATTTTATAATGCATGTCTAAGAGGTGTCAACTACATAGACTGCATCAGCAGAATTGGTACCAATGGATCTGCAAGCTCATTTCCTTTTAGACCTGTGTGACAAGGAATCCAACAATATCAAATATCGGTGTTAAGATCCTTAAGATCTACATAGGGATTAGTAACCTCGGTTAACAAAGAATTTCCTGAATGACTTGAAATAAGTAGAAGTGCTTATTAAATAGAAAACATTTTTGCAGAAAGCACGGAGCAAATTTTGTGAAATCGAAAACCCTCAGTGATACTACCACAAGCAAATGGCGATCCAGCATGATCATTAAACCTTGATCCATCAGTAAATAAAGGAATATAATCTTTGTAAATATTTTTGTGCTCATACAAGATTTGTCTGTATTCAATTTCACTAGTGTAACTTTTGTCCGAAGATGGGAAAAATATTAATTTTAAAATCATTCAATACATACTTTTCAAGAAATGAGAAATTGCGCAAAAAAGAAGGTAAAATACAAGATGACCTTGCATGGTACAAAGAAAGATAAAATCATTCTATAGATGGATGTGAGCAGGATGACATAAGTGAGGCATGACCTTAAAATAGTAATTTACATATAAATGACAACGCCTTCGTTTTCATGCTGGTTCAATATATTCTGTATACAAGCTTTGAGCAGGGAAATCTTGAACTGATCTGTAAAAGCTTAAACAGATCCGTAAAGCTTGGTGTTGTACAGGGTCATGCCTTGCCAACACAAAAGGCCATGCTGCATCAGCCGTGCTAGATGGAAAAACCATAGTCCAAATTACACCTAATTAATGCCTTGTAGATATAGGTGCTGCATTGTAAAAGTGATCTGTATTCCAAGAAGTACTAGAAAACACATTAAACATGTTCAGAAGTTTTAAACATTTGTTCTTTCAGAAATGCAATGTAAAGGAGGAAAGTTAGCTTCATGTTATGGACCAAGAAATGTTGCTTCTGATAGCACTGGAATTAAACGTCATTCCAGGCGAGTTCGGGATCAGGATGTTAGTTTCGTTTACGAGAAAAATGCACACAGACACAAATGGTCTTCTGGTTAGAAAAACTTAAAATCCTCTGTATTTGCGCAGTTAATATTCCTGTTCAAAAAGATCTGCAATTGTCTTTCCATACAATGGATATCAGCGCCTTGACAGCTTATCTGGAGATCATTAACGTATAACGTTTCAATTAATGTTGAGGAGAGTTCTTTTAAAATGAAATTAATTTTGAACACCTCGCAGGCATTCAACATATTATAAATCTCGTATTATGCCATAAGTCAAGGTGATCTTTATTTCTGGTAGATTTACTTTCAGTTTTCCTCAAATTCATTCTTAATAAAAATGTACATCCAGTCTAACAATAAATTAAAAAGATCAGGAAACATTAATCGAAGAACCTATTATTTCTTGGGATTTGTTTTCAGCAGTAGAATGGGATTTGCTTGGCAATATTTGTGCAGCAGAGAACATCCGCTCAACAGCATACACTTTTCTCTCTTGCTTTCTAATTTTAAGAAAAAATATTTTACCATTTCTATTAGTTCAAAAGACGGAAATTTGATGAATAAAGATTGCCTGACAGTGTCTTTCTACAAACTAGTTTGAAATCTTGCTCATAAAGAGTACCTTCCCGTATCCCAATCCCACGAAGACGTTGATCAACTATAGAGTTATATTGTCACGATAAACCAGACGGCCGTTCGAAACGTATCCTCAATATTGGATCGACAGAGGTGGTAAAGTTTATTGGCCAGCAAGATCGTCAGACCTCACTTGCATTGTCTACTTTCTCTGAGGGTACGTCAAGACATTGGTGTACGAAACCCCGGTAGAAGTGCTGAGGAACTTGTTGCCCGCATCTTGGTAGCTGCTGGGGAAGTCCGGGACATGCACGGCCGGCATTTTCAAGAACATTAAATCTTCCGCGTGCCGGAGTTGTGAGGCTTGAATCAGGGTGCGGGATCGAACACCTTCTTTGAAGATGATCGTTGTCTATTTCTGTTCTTATTTATTGATTTTTGGTGTACTAAGCATGTTAAACATGTTTCCTCACCCTGTTCATGTTCTTCCTTTCTTGTGTTTTGTGTTGTTACCATTGCATCAGGAAAGCCTTTTCGACCTAGATGGCTAATATCTGCCTATTATTAACTGCAGACATATTATCTGCTTTTATTATCTGCCTGCATTATTTTGTTATTTTCAATCGTCTAGATCAATATTTCTTAACCGACGGTCCGCAAGAAATATTTGCCGGTCTGCGAAATATCCAGCTATCTGTCCAAAACCCAAAGTGTCATCGGCCGACAACCGATATTACAACAGAACCTACATTACAATAACAATAGTTTACTAGTTTAGAAAGTAATATGATCGATGATGAAAAATATATTAAACTGGCAACTATGTACCTAATCGCCTTTCATAAATTGCCGTGCCTTACACTTAACACCAGTTAGTGCGCCCCTATCTGCCTTGAGTATCGCTGATTACTTGAACGTTGAATATCTATCGTAGTGTTTAAGGCGTCTTAGGTTAGGTTTCGCTTGTTATTCTGCTTACATTCTTCTGCACGCTTTTAATAACTGTTTTTAATAACTTCTGAATTTAATACTGAGTTATAACTACTATTTCCTTAACTTTAAGTAGATTAAAAATCAATAACCAGGATGAGTAAGAAGGAAACGAAAGGCACATTACTAAATTTCGTGCAAAGAAAGGATTGTCCAAAACCAAGTACGTCGTCCGCACCTTCGAATACAGATGAAGGTGAATATAGCCCACAATCTGCCAAAAAAAGAAAAAGCTTTGTGAGGCACTATATAGCAGATGGTTTAGTCCTTTGGCCACAATCAGAAAGAAAATTGTTCAATTGTTATAATGAATTCCGATTATTTCAATTGTTGCCACTTGAGGACGAGAAGAGGTTGACAAGTGGCGTTCCAGGTATGGTATACCATACCTGAAGCGCCCTATAGGGATCCTCATTCTATTGTCCAGGGACCGTCACTGATACTTTTATATTCAAGGGTTTTTGTGATTATTTTTTAAAATATTGTGTGATTTTTCTCAAAGGTTTATTTACTTATATATGATAACTATACTGATATGTAATAATTACGATATTTACTTATCTTTATATTTAAATATGATTGTAGGCAAATAAAAATAAGAATATTACAATTAACTTATGTAGTAATTCCTGAATACCTTGTAGAGGTTTTTTTTTGGGGGGGGGGAAACCACCGGTCCGCGACATTTTTTCGTAAGTTTTACCGGTCCGCGGACCAAAAAAGGTTGAGAAGCACTGATCTAGATTACTCTATCTCTCCTAAACGTTTGTAACCAATTTGCTGCGACATCCTATGTATATATATATGTAAAATAAAAAAAAATATGTAAATCAAAATTATAATTTAAACTAACTGTAAAACGTAAATTGTCCCTCTTTATTCTAAAAATCGTAATAACTTCTCTGCATTGCGTCATTTCTAGATCATTCTATGCCCAGCGCAGCGCTAATGACGTAATAATTGGGAACTGAAACTACCATTTTAAACCAAAACTTTTCCTCTTCGCGTGCTTTCATCTTGCATAACTACGCACTTCAGCTTCTGACTGTGCTGTGCTTGGACACAATTTCGCTATGCTGCTTCCTATTGCAATAATATCAATAATGTAAATGCTCTTGAACAGGCACAACTAGTGTCCAAGTGATCTGTGGCCACATATGTCAATTGGAAATAAAAATGGAATTAAAACCGCCTTGACCGCCAAGCTTTCTTTACGAAGTCAACAAATTAGCTTACGACGCAATCAGAATACTGCCTCTTCGGAAAAAGTCGGAACACTGTTGATAACTACGCATCAACAGTGTTCCGACTTTTTCCTTGCTTTTATTATAACATATATAGTCATTCATTAGTTAGAAAGGTTCATTATTTAATTACACCATCAGTAGACACAATTACGTAATGTAAAACGTAAAGAATACATTTCTTTAATCACAGAAAAAAATGCTCTATTAATAACGAAACATACCCACAGAAGAATCTATTACGTAAGGAACTACAGCTCCAGGCCATCTATAGTTTTCACCTGGAATAGCATTTCTTTCAGCATCCTGAAAAAATAATCTGATTTCTGTTACTCGTATTAGGATTTGGTTTGATTAACGACGTCTACACTATTAACAAATGACGACTTTACTTATTGAATTTAATTCAATAAGAATCATTTATGTTAAATTATAATTTATAATTTAACATATAAATATTTCCTTAACTTTAAGTAGATTAAAAATCAATAACCAGGATGAGTAAGAAGGAAACGAAAGGCACATTACTAAATTTCGTGCAAAGAAAGGATTCTCCAAAACCAAGTACGTCGTCCGCACCTTCGAATACAGATGAAGGTGAATATAGTCCACAATCTGCCAAAAAAAGAAAAAGCTTTGTGAGGTACTATATAGCAGATGGTTTAGTCCTTTGGCCACAATCAGAAGAAAATTGTTCAATTGTTATTATGAATTCCGATTATTTCAATTGTTGCCACTTGAGGACGAGAAGAGGTTGACAAGTGGCGTTCCAGGTATGGTATACCATATGAAAACATACATAAGGAAACATTTATATGTTAAATTATAATGAAGTACAGCGTAATTTCTTCGTGTTAGTAACAAATATCTTTACGTTAATAACAGCCGTGATTTCTCTTTTTATTGTATAAAATATACTGTAACATTCATCATAATTTCTTCAACAGTAATAGTCCATTTTAAGCATAATCAATGAATTCAATTGATAGTTTAGGATACAAATTTGAGGTTTAGAACTGTATGCTTTGATTTTGTTCAAGTTCAAGTTTGCCGCAGAAAAATATATAAAGTAGTAAAAAGCAAAGATCATTTTAATAAACGATATAAATTAGCTCGAAGAAGAGCTTGGGGGCAGTTATAATACAGAACATGTTCGCAGTAACTGAAAATGGAATGATTAAATTCACATTTCCGTGATTTACTTCACTGCTGGGCTTCATTAAGGTCAAATTTTAAGGAAAATAAAGGCACTAAATAGTAATCTCCAAAGCTTTACTAACTATTTTACTTTTCAAGCAGTGTAATAACTTCAGGTGCCTATATCAAGTAAATTTGATTTGCTGCATTAGAGCTTCGTTCATAAAGATTTTTAAGAAATGCATTTAACATGCTAAGAAAATTCATTCTAAGCATCTTTAATTCACTCTATACTTAATAACAATGCTCAAATACGGATGTTACTTAAATATTTAATCAAATAACACATGTGTAATCAAATAATTGTAATTTAAACTATTAAACTAAACTCAGTGGCGTAACAGCCCTAATGGGCCAAAGCCTGCTGTGCCCGAAATCTGCTTTCTTAACCGTGGGTCCCAGGGTGCGTAAGCATATGCCCTGAACAAGCGCTCAGCTTGTTGCAGGACTAACTATTAAAACTAAACTATTAAAATAACTAAGCTAAACTATTAAAATATTTTAATTAATTGCTAACCGATAACCCTCTAAATTGAGATATAACTTCATTAACCTTTAGCCTAATAACTTAAAATTATAAGGTGTTTGTCCGGCCTTCTTAGCGAGCCTTCGTGGTGTAGTGGTCTGCAAGCTCAGCGCGTAATTGAGAGGTCCGCTGTTCGATTCCCAGCGAAGGCTTTGCTAATTTTTCATCTTTCCTGCTCCGAAATAACCTAATGTCACTACAGTGGCGCCTGAACTAAAAGAGTATTGGATGATGATTTTCCTCACCCAGGATTTGGTGATTGGGTTCCCTAAAAATCCCAGTCGCTTTTTAAAAGGAGAAGTATATAAGATATTTCTCCCGCCTTCTTTGCGTGCCTTAGGGGTGTGGTGGTCTGCACGCTTAGGGAGTAATTGAGAGGTCTGTGGTTCGATTCCCGGTAAAGGCCTTGCATATTTTTATCTTTTCTGCTCCGAAATAACCTAATGTCACTACGGTGGCGCCGGAACTAAAAGGGTGTTCAATGATGATTGTCCTCACCCAGGATTAGGCAATTGGGAGTCCTTAAAACCCCAGGTGCCCTTTAAAAGAGGGAGTATATAAGGTATTTTTCCCGCCTTCTTAGCGAGCATTCGTGGTGTAGCGGTCTGCACGCTCAGCGCGTAATTGAGAAGTCCGCGGTTCGATTCCCAGCGAAAACGTTGCTAATTTTTCATCTTGCCTGCTTCCAAAAAAGATACCTAATGTCTCTACAAAATGATAAATAATTTACTCATTAAAGAGGGCTATAACAAGATAAATAACTTTATTTTTTTTTAAATATAATGTTGCACTATCCTTAGGTTTATGGATGCACGAAAGTGAAAAATGTGCAGTGCCTTCCCTGGGATCTGAACTCCGGACCTCCCGAAATACGCGTTCAGCGTGTTTCTAGTTGCACCACGAAGGCATTCGGAAATGTAGGAGAAAATACGTTATATACTCCCTCTTTTAAAGGGGTACTGCAGATGAAGAGAAACAATCGCCAAATCTTGGTGCTGACGAATTATCGTCCATCATATGTTTAATTCGAAAGCTACTTGTAGGGTATTTTAGAACTTTTTTGAACTCAAGAAACTGACGAAATCCCCATTGCCTTCCCCGGATTCGAAGTCCTGCCTCCCTAATACTCGTGGAGTGTGCTTCCGGTCACATCACGAAAGCATGTGGAAATGTGGAAAGGAGGGAGAAAATACTCTATAATGTAATAAAATGACTTCTGTACGACTGTTTTGGTGTAAATGTTTGAGTATGATAAGTTTTATTTTAGGTTTCATTGAAATTATTGTTTAAAAGTATTTAATGCTTTGTAATATAAAATTTAAATAATAAATGCAAGGGCCTTTGAAAATTGTATTTGCTGCACATAATACTTAAATATAAAGAAAATATAAAAAATAAGCTTTTAAAAATTAATGAAAGAAAGTACAAAATTATTATGCAATATTCTCAAATAATTATTTAATATTAGACTGCATAGCCTGAATTCTCATTTTAAATATTTGTTGTGTTAGCTCTATTTTTAGGTTAATAAGGTGCTTGCCATAACATGATGGAAAAGTAGCAAAATTTTTCTGTAATTCTTTGACTCATATTAACTCAAGTTCATATTCAACTGTTTTGCTTGTTAAAAAGCTCTCTTCTACGACTTATCATCTATTTTTCTATAGTTCCATACTTCCTAATCGAACAAAAATTTCTCGTAATTTGATGTTTTGCTTCTAACTATGTAACTCATTATATTCTTTCAAAAGTATAATTATTTCGGAAACATTCATTTTTAAACTTCGAAATATGTTTAAGTTTTACCTAAAATATATAAAATATTTTACATACTTTTTAAAAATCAATTTACAATGAAGATATTAATAAAAATGCATGTGATTTCTATTTATCACATTTAAATCATGCTGATAGTTTGCTCAAATAAATGTCATGCTCGGAAAGTCTACATGTGCTTTATACTAATAGCATAAAATAGCAAAAAATAACAAAATACAGATTGACCTGCTTAGTTCAGGTACTGTTTGCAGTATACACATTTAAGTCTGTGACATAATCTCAAAATACACTTCGTCACTACGTCTAGTATAATAAACCTATATTATTATCTACATAAATCTATATTATTAGTTTTATTTTAAGGCTTTGACTACGAATTTAAAAAAAGTCATACCCCGTTTTCTATTCAAGTGAACAAAATATGTCATAGATAAGGTAAATTTAGCATTTGAGAATTTTTTGACAAGCGGTTTTGAAGCCAAAAGCTGGGACATGTCCCAGCCGTAATTAATGGTGAGATACATATGTCCCACACTTAGCGATCAAGGGGTTAAAAGTAGAAGAAAAGTAATTTTTAACAAATAACATTTAAATATTTTGTTATTTTTATGTTAATGTTATGTTAATAAAAAAAAGTTTTATGTACAAATGTTAATGCTTAAATGTTAAATAATGTATGAATGTTTAAAAAGCATTCATACATTTAACAGTGAAAACGGTATAAACATTTTCGTGGTGTAACGACGAATAGTTTGAATCAAGGAAAGGGCATTGCGGATTTCTTTTCTTGGAGATTTACCTGACATCGAAAAATTTTTGAATTAATTCTAAAATTCAAAGCTCAAAAATAAAATATTTCTCTTTCCTAATTTTGTAAAATTATCATTAAGTGGGAACATAAACATCAGTCAGGATCACAAACATCAACTTGCCATGCACTGTATGTAGAACATTTTTTTTCATTTGCAGTTCTTTTGCATTCTTATTAAACATAAAAGTACCATAAGCTACCATTTAAGTTAAAATTATTATGCTACTGAAGAAAAAAGAGTCTACAGTAGAGTCGTTTCAAATTTATGGGCCCGTTAAGTTATGTTACATGCATCATAGGTATTGCCCACGCTACTTAACGTATGCCGTCTTTGCACGAGACATAAAATCTTTTAACATATTTCGCAGGCTGACAAATAACCATTCCAAATGGCTAAGAACTTTAGCTTATATATCAGACTCTAACAGCTTAATAAAATGAATATTAATGAAATAAAGACATTTTTAAAATAATAAGAAAACTATACTCACAAACGGGCCATCAATTCCTGCCATGTCGCCTCCAAACAAATCAGGATTCTCAATAGCCTTCCGTTGGGCAGCTGCAATGAGAGTTAAAGCTTTATTAATAATATTTCCTTCTATGTCGATAACCTTACCAACAGAATATATTTATATATTTTAATTTCTGAACATTACCTTATTTTGATGTCAGAAATTCTGCTACTGCATTCAGCTAAAATTTGTTTTGAATAGAAAGTGCATGCCTCACTCGGTGAGTTATTTTCTCCTTCCTTACAGCGTTATTTTGTAGTGTAATTGGAAACATGTCCCGCTAGAACTCAGGAAATCCGAAGTTCTAATCCAGGCGAGGACTCTGCACATTTTTCACTTCTCTTACTCCAATATAAAATCTCTAACAGTCTCTAAAACTCCTTCTAGTGTCTAATTGGTGACCACAACAACACTTAAATGTTTTAATAGAAACAATGATTAACTCTTTCGCATCTATAGAGGCCAAAATCTGTTCCTTTTAGGCATCTGAAACACCCAAGTATACGAATCTCTGTTGAAATGGATTTTCTTTGCCCCTGTCAAGTAGAATCTAGAGCGTTAATAATGACTTACTTAAGCAAAGCGATTACTTCTTTCTTGGGGATCTTCGTGCGGCAACACCTATTGTGTTCATTTTCCCCTTAGGACTTGCAACTGCGAGCATCAATAGATAAACATTGAGACTAAAAGGAGATGGAAGGTCAAATAAGAGAATCATTCAAATAATACAGCTACTTTAGTCGCTTCAAAAGAAAGATTGGCATTTCATTTAACAAGGCCAGAAGCCAATGAACAATGGATTGAAATGATGGGGGAAGCCACAGGTAAAAAAAAAAAATAGACGCAGGCATTAGGGTGACTTGCCGATGTTTGAATGCACGGCCGGTATCGGAGACTTCGCTGTGGAAGGTTTAAACAGATTGTGCAAAATTCTACTACTGTCTTATTGGTAACTCTATTACAGGAAGACAATGTGGCAAGATTGTCGCTGTTACAACAATCAGCTGTACGATAAAAATGCCCATTTTAAAGTTAATTAACTGTTAATTAACTGCGGGACATGTTTCCAATAATACTTTATTTTCAAAAGAAAATAAAAGATTCTTAAATATTTTAAATTTGTTACAAGTAGTAGGAGAGACCGAGCATGAATATGAAAATGCGATAATATTTACATATTTCTATGACTTTTATAAGTACTCAGCTTTTATAAGTACTTCCTATAACTTCTAAGTTTATTATTCTAAACTAACCAGTTATTGTGATGTGGATCTGTATTTTAACTTCTCCTTTCATATTCCTCATCAGAATGCAAACGAGATAGCTAGTATTTAAACTGAGGTTTTGGGATTTTAAGATACAGTGTGTTTCTGGCTACACATGCACGCTTTATGTGAGTTCCTGCCAGCTGGTTTAGTTATAATTATTTCGTTTTGCGTTTTTTCTCTGCCGAATCTTTGGTTTTGACCCTCCGGGTAGAATTTCTTAACGAGCTTGAAGTAAAATATAATTCTGTAGTCTTAAATTATTGTTGAACATTAACTTGAATTTGACTGTTCTGTTTAGTTACATCACCGTGAGCTGTGGCTGATATTGTTTTGTTTAAACCTTTCCACGATTTGGCGGTTATTCCAGACATAGCAATGCTTAGCTTTACGTCTGTTGGGGCAACAAATTGGCAGCAAATCTTCTGGTAAGTTTTAAATGTAAACAAACATGGACGGCATAGCAATCAGAAATTAGGTTTAGCCGCACTTAAAAAACTTTTAAATTGTTGATAATTTCACAATTATTGCATGTAGGTTAACTAAAGGCATAAAAACCTTAACTGGAAGGTAAGAACAACATAATTCAATCATTTTTCAATTCATCAATATTAAAAGTTTTTGAAAGCAAAAAATGCACCATTTATACATATATAAGAATAAAGAAACTGAGATCACTGAGCCGACTAACAGGTTGGATATAAATATACTTTTGTTGCGGCTGATTGCAACCAAAATACGAGGTGCACATCTACATGTTATAGCAGTCCTATATAGTACAAAATTTCAACGTTCTGAGCTTACTTGTTTTTGAGTCATGCGAGATACGCACATACGTACATACGTACAGACGCCACGAAAAATTCTCTTCAGAATTCATTTTAAATCAGTTTTATAATTTTTTTGGGGGAAAGAGTCCTTTATTTTGTCCTTACAACACTTCCTTTTTACTTCATACAAGGAAGTAAAAAGGGAGGAAGATGCCTCATATTCAGAATTCTATGTTGCCATCTAATAGGTAATATTTTCAGGCGAAACCCTTATGCGTATAACCATACATCTGAATTTCCACGTAAAACAATCATTTAATGTTTACTAATTTTTGGACCATTGTCTATTAATTGTAGTTTTAGGAATTGTAGAAATTTATTTTTTATTATTAGTGAACATAACTTCCATTCAAATGATATTTTAGAGATTGATTCATCCTATATTACACTTTAAAGAACATTGAAATAAAATCATTCCTTCTTTAAAAAAATATTCTTAAAACTTTTCTGTAATTATAAAACGATTAAATTTGTTACCATCATTGGTCGGCAGTCCAAGGACCCCTGAGATCACAGCAAAACCGAATATCAAGCGCAACTGCATGTTCATCGTGTGAAACGGACTCCAAGAATGTATCAATATTGGGTAGGCAATTACCATTTGAAATGAAACCTTGGTACGCTATCGCATTCTGAAAATTCACATCTGTTCACAAAATAAGATAATATATCGAATGTTTTCTATTGAGTAAAGATAATTTAGGAGCAATAGAGGAAAGAAATATTAACTTTGAAGAAAAACAAGAATGTAAATCTAAAAATATAATCCTCTGAAATATAATTCTCCAGCTGAGGGCTTTTTAAATTAAAATACAATATTCGTTTCTTTGGGTCAAAATCATTTAAACTTTTGTAGAATTTCTCACCTTATTTAAAGCAGCATAAATTAGATTTGGTAACCCCTTTTGTTTAAGTTTTTTTGAAAGGTACTTTTTTGTAGTTAATACTTGGCGACCCTTTTTTAGCCCAAAGGGGTAGTATCCCAGAAGGGTTATTAGTTTCGAAACTGCATTTTGCGTTCTTTCACTATAAATGTTCGTTTCACTTTTTAAATTATTCCGAGCAAATATTATCGCTCTGTATTATATTTGAAGAAATTAAATAATGAAGAATCTGCATAAATATATGCATGTTTCTCGGATTATGATAAGACGACCCTACCTAAAGCCATCAAATTTTAAATTACGTAATCGTCCACCCGATCATGTCTCGAAATTGTTTTATTATCTGTTTCATATTTTATTAAATTTTATCGAATTTTTGATAAACAAATCTAACTATTTCAAAGCCAGTAATGGCAATACTGTATGTAAAAAAACATTTTTATTTTCAACGCGCGAGACTGTTTATCAGAAATTCTAAAGATATGCTGTTTTCAAATATTTTGTGATATTTTTGTTGAATTGAATTTTATATGGTTTAAATGCGAAGATTTAATAAATTATGGTTAACACCCAAAACGTAAAAAAATGCCCCTTTGGGCGTAATATAAAATCTGAAGGCTTTCAGATTTAAAAAAAAAATTATTTATTTTAACAAGTTTTGCATTTTTGTGTTGGAAAGCTACTATATATGCATTAATAGATCTAAACGTTTACGAAGGTATATTATATGTAACCAATTAGTCATAAGGAAAAATTGCTATCATAATTGAAAACTTAGTGAAATTTCTAGAAGGAACTCAGGTATAATTGTTGACTACTGTTTTCTTCCGTCGACACTTTTGAAAACTATTAAGTTTTGGTTACATCTATTTCAATTCAATTCATTGAATGCTGCCAACAAATGATATGATATAATTTTTAATACATACTTCAGAAAATTATACATAACTAACACATATTGATTTCCATTTCGCAAGGAATTAAAAATAATTTTTATTGCTATGCTTGAAAACAGCTTGCATTGCTCTTTTGTATGATTAAACTAAATTCAGATAAATCTCTAGCTTAGTAATTTTAATTTCAGTGAGAAGTTGGCAAATATGAGGATTTAATTAACTTCTAAAAGGTTTGAATTTAAAAACAGGAGTGAAGAGCAAAGGAGTTCAGATATAAGAATGGAATGAAAAAAAGAAATTAAGGCTATTCACAAGATTTCTCGTTCAGAAATGGTTGTTTCGGTGAACATAATTAGCACTTTTATTTAAATAATGTCTAATAATAAGTTGTTCTGTTTCCAATATTTCGAAATTATTGCGGTGTTTCTTTACATCATGAGAATGGGTATAGGCAATCAGAAACTGAAGTAATTGTAACCGATTATCGTGATAAATTTAAGATAGCCGGATAATTATTGAAAGTTAAATATTTTAATGAACTAATGTAATAAATATATCACATTTGATATGCTTAAAGGAAAAGAAAAAAAAAAAAAAAAAAAACAGAGAAGATACGTATTTGCTTGGGATTGTTGATCACTTTTCAAAGTGGGCAGATATAACTTCTGCAAAATATGCTGCAAAATCGTTTTTAAATAAACTTATATTAAAACATGGGGCTCAATGAAAGCAATTTCAGGCAATGATCCGCTGTTCATAAATCATATTTTTGAGGTAATGTGCACGGTTCTTGATATAAAACATTTCAAGATCGTCCCTTATTGACCGCAGACACGGTAACTTTCGGCTCTCCTCATATTTAGAGCGATCCCTTACTGCAGAGACACTATACATTTACAAACATCATGTGTTCTCCGAGATTCAAATCCGGGCTCTTCTGTACAGTAGTCGGCGTCACTAACCACTCTCCCGGTTGAGCGGCTCAAGGAAATGTTCCAACAGAAACGTCCGCATCACCAAAGTACGACGAAGTTCGAAAGAAATAAAGCAGGATGATATAGCTGAAATATATGAGTAATAGCGCAGGAAAAAATACTCAAAGTTATCACTTTGTCAGTTTTAGCCAAAACCTAATATATTGCTCCTACTGATTTGAGTTTTAAGTAATAAGATTAAAAATTCTTGGCATATATTTAATACAGTTTTCCGTCAAAAACTGTATTACGGGCTTCAAGTTAAGTAACATTTACACTTGTGTATCAAAAACTGTTAGGGGCTACAATTAAAGAACCACTTCAGGTTGTCCAATTTTACTGCAAATTTAGTCAATTATTTCTATAAATACAAATTGTCAATTGCAAGTAGTAGAGGCCGAAGAAAAGGCGAATTCGTTATTAAGTTAGTAGAAACTGAGAGTGAAATTAAATCAATAAGCAGCGGTGTTCAACTCTCTAAAAATGTACTATGTGATGCTGAGAAAGGAGAAGCTGATATTTTAGAATTAGTGCAGAATCCTTGGCAGTTAAAGAAGATGAAGGGGTGCGCAAGAGAAAATGTTGTCGGTTTTTAATCTAGTGCTTGATCTCATAAAATTTACAGACCCTGTTACATTATGCTTTAAAATTTTATTATTATTATAATATCCATAGTTCCATATATATTATAATATCCATAGTTAACTAAGACTTACCACATTTAGCCAATATAAAGGTACCCAGATGATTTGATGGAAACGGTGATATTAAACTTATGATTTACGATATTTGCATACCTTCTGTGATGCAAGACTAAGACTAAGCTGCTAACGAGAGTAGTATTTATAAGATGTGGAACAAAACAATGGTGGGGGATTGTGGAATAAATGTTCTTAAGCAAATTCTAAAGAAAGTTCTTGGCAAAGCATTGATGGATTTCGAAGACTTGAAAACAGCCCTTTGTGACTATGGTACAATGATCAGCTCTTGATCTCTAACGTGCGTACTCAAAGATTCAGGCAAACTAGTTCCTTTTGAGTCATAATGTGAAGACGTTGGAATGCTTGATTCAGACTTGATGAAAGCTCCATCACTCGAATAGATCTCCTCGCAGGCTACGACAGTAAAGTTACAACTGTACGCGTTATGGCAGCATCAAGTATACTAATATGAATTATTAATTTTCAATGGTTAGGTCAAAGAATCTAATCATGGGAAATTGTTTAATATTAAAAAGTGTGGCTGAATCAATAGAAGACTCAACTCAGTTCATAAGTGATCAAAAGAAAAAAGGCAACAGAAAAGGTAAAAGATATTTGTGAGGCTTTTCCAAAATCATATGCAAGTGGTCGTGAGATTAAAATTCCTAAGAGACTGAACTTGCAAAATTTGTACTTGTAAAGAGATGCAGTTATGCAATTTTAGCGTGTCCATGTCATGCTGTGTTTAAGTATTAGTTTTTTTGTTCGGAAATAGAGATTTTAAAGTTAAAATTTATGTTAAGTTGTCTTCTTTGAATTCTATTAAGATGGAAGAATATTGCTTATTGATTGTCATTTAATGACAATATTTAATTTGAGCAATTTAGAAACAATATGCGTTCATTATTCAAGTTCAGCGGTATGTGAAACCGAAATGCTTTTGAATCTACAATGCTGTGGAAATAAACTGATGTTTCTCTCGTAAATAACTTATGCTTTGTTGTAAAAAACGAATGTTTATTTTCTTGCCAAGCCGCATGTAAAGGATTCAGCAAAATTCGTTCAGCGAATGATCGGATTTCAAAGAGACAGGAAAGTATGTAAGCATTTGAAAAACGTTTGCATTTCATGGTTAGACTTAAATAAATTGAAAAATCAACTGAAAGAATTCATTACGTAATGATCTTTATATCAACATTCTATTAATTCGTCTAAAAGCACATCTTTATTAATAATATACATTTGTTTAATAATATTTTGATCTGATGCCTTAATTTTACATAATCTGAGTGATTTCTTTTTGTTAAAGTAGATTTATGTTAGCATATTTTTATTTCCACAATTTACATTCTCATTTCTCTTCTAAATTTCTAAAACTCATTGCAAGAAAAGTTTGGAAAATCTAACACTTGTACAAAATTTTAACTCTCTGGATATTGGATTTTTTGCTTGGTGTCATTTCTTGCTTGGTGTATGGGTTGAAGAGTGGCGTTCCATCCTTCGCCTCCATAGTGTACGATTTGCCATCTTTAGAAAAAGCCGTGTTTCCATAGATCATGATGGATCCGTAGTCAAAAGGTGTTAACAAAAGGTTTTGTGATGGTGCCAATAAAGCGAAGTTAAGTGCCATACCTACCAAAAGGAAGTAATATTCGTGATATGTCTGCCAATTAAAACATACATGTATTTTTGAAAATTTCAAGAAGTAATTTTGTAATTGCAAATTTTTACGTACCTCGCCTAATATTCTTATAATATATTATCAGGTATTTATCTCTATCTGATCTATTCTGCTCATGGTAAAATCCTAAAGCATGTCCTATTTCGTGAATAACCGTTCCCACATACATACAACCCATACCTAAAGATATTGGTTGTTCACTTCCTACTCTTCCGACGTAGGAGTAACACCTGTTGGATATAAAAATTACATAAATATAGTTAAGTAGTAAACACAGATATAAAGATAAATTTATTGAGATGGATGTTGTTTCTGACATTTGTACAGTGGTAATATAAATTCTATATGTGGTCCGCTAGGGATTCATATTTTATATAGAAAACTAGGCCAAGTGTGCATGATGTCATGTGAGCTACAGCCGTTAGTTTTCTGAGCGTTTGTTTACAGCGGTGACAGCGATAATTTGAAAGGATTTTTGAAGTAATTTGTACCATCAACTTGAGTTACTGTTACTTACTTCAGTTACTGTGTTATAAATGGCAAATTCTGCTGTAGCATAGCATCAGAATTCTCTCTGATCTGGAAACAATTCCATATTTACCAAGGATGATGAATTGGATAATAATTGTACGTTTCCATTGCACGTTCTTCCGACCCATTTGCTCTTTCGCGTGTGATGGCTGTAATACATTTGTTTGTGTATGTCTTTGCTTTATTGTTTACAGTGTGGTCTAGCAATGCCACAGCAAGCTCTTGGATCAATTTCACGTCATTTTTTCTTGTATCAGTTTTAATCAACCAAATAGTTTCTGTTTGCCGCGTTTAGACTTTATGGCTTATTTTTGGGGAGGTGTGTATTTTTCATATTCTCTGTATTATTTTTAAATAAGTATGTAACATATTATTATCATAATATTTGGCGGCAATATTTGAAAAGCAATTCGGACAAAAATTGAGGTTTGATACAAAAGCACCTCTAGTGCTAATGAAAGTTTGTGCATTTAAATTTCTGTGTTGTTATTCAGTCATGCAAACAGATTGTGCACATTTTGTTTTGAAATGAAGCCATAGGCTAAGGAAACTCCACAATTTTTAAAGAACTCTAAGCATATTCTAGTTTTTTGTGTTAAGACATTATCTTCTTTGGCGCTGTTATAGTGCCAGGATAAAGTGTATTTGTACTTTGAAAAATGAAAATTAGTGCAGTATGCTATATATATTCTGACCAACGTATATTTATGAAAGAACATAGTATTCTTAGAATGAATGACTTTTAATGCGTCTTTAATCTTAAATGCAAATGCTATTACAATATTTCTTCATTACTCTGTATTTTTTAGCCGCTGCTAATGCATTTTCTCAAAGATTTTTATGGAAAGTGTAAGTCAGCTATACAAACAAAATGCAATTTATAAATGACTTAATTAAGAAAACATAAAATTCAGAGTTTCGAAAGCTTCTGAAAGTAGCAAATTACTTCGGAGTATAAAACTGGATATAGCTGAGCGAAAGGCAAAGAAATTTAGGCGATTTTTCTTACGGCAAGAAAAATTGCTTTTATTGCAGTGTAGCCCCACCAGCTGCCAAGCGATAACGTCGCTGAATCCTGGTAATTCGGTCGGAGGTTCGAATCCCCTCGAACGGGCTGTCTACATGGCTGTTTTCGTGGTTTTTCCCATGTGTAACGTGTATACGAGCAACTTTCCCTTAAAACGTCCTCCACGAAGGCATCCCTCCCTTAATGCAGATAGCTCTCGAGTGCTTTGCCGTAATTTAATAAACCAAACCTTTATTTCAGTGTACTAAATTGAGGTTTGGCTAAGTCCATCAACATTGCGAACTCATCACTTTTGGTCATAATAAAAAAATAATGGTGCAAATAAAAAAAGGAATATTATGCTATCAAGTATAAAAATAATTAACCGAAATTACAAGTGCTATTCACAATCTGAACAGAAAGAAGCACAGCTGGACAATGGCTTCTTATAAATATGAGAAAAATAATGATTTTTCAATAAAATATGCCCGCATCATTATAGAAGGTTATCAATATCCATATATATATGTATCCTTATATATAAACTAAACTTAAAACATTCAAAATTAAAATTAAATTGGAATCAAAACAAGGTAATTCCTTAATAATATTAATAATTGCAACATTGGATAAAAGGTACATAATCAAAATTAATATAAGAACTCATCAGTAGAATAAACCCGAAAACTAAAAATGCAAAGTGGTAATAAAAATAAAAATTTATATCCTTTGTCTGAAGCCTAATTCAGAATTTACCAGGGGAAAATTAATTTATTTCAGAAAAGTTGATTAATGTGTTTCGAATACATGTTTCGTTCTTCTGAATTATTTCACACCAAAAACAGATAAAAGATTCAATTAAATTTTCAATAAAACATTAAAATTCAATTAAAACCAAAAGATCGAATCTCAAATGTATTCAGAATTGATATTTCGGTTTTAATCGAAACATTAATCGGTTTTTCATCTCAAATGATTCAGAAGAACGAAATGGGTATTCGAAACACATTAATCGACTTTTATGAAACTTTAATTCATTTTCCCCTGATTCGTTCTGAATTAAGGTTTCAGACATAGGAGATTAATTTTTATTTCTATTACCAATTTACATTTTTATATTTCGCGTTTATTCTACTGATGAATTCTTACATTAATTTTGATTATGTTTAGCTGCAATGGCTCTACCTTTTATCCAAGGTGGCAATTATTAATATTGTTAGGGAATTGCCTTGTTTTGATTCCAATTTAATTTTAGTTTTGAATGCTTTAAATTTAATTTACTTCAATTCTGCAGCTATAGTGCACAAGACTGACTAAATTTTTCTTTTTATTTTTGGCATATTAATATGTTTCTCTTTGTATCCTCTTATATATATAACTTTTCTAAACTTGACTTTTGCCTAACTTTAAATTTCAGGCATACTTTTCCTTCACATATAAATGCATTCCTTCACATATAAATACAAATGTATAGAAATATATTTCTTCACATATAAATACAAATATTCCTTCACATAGAAATACAAAATGCAAACTTCTGGATGTTAAGAATTTTCTTTACCATGAGCAGTAAAAATTTCATTTTAGAAGATTATTCTTCAAACATGGATTAATTGTACAGTAATATTTACTTATGACTTTATTCAAATGCATTTGAATAGTTATATTTATTTATGCTTTTATTCCACTGCATTTTACGCACAGAAAACCTTAAAGGTTATAGAAACCCTTACATGCATTCACGTGCTTGTGTTGATTGTTTTGCTCCTCTCGCAGCTCTTTACAAATTGAGTTCTTTTTTTCCTTTTTTTAAATATTTAAGTCTACTGGTGCGCAAGGGTTCAAAATCAAAAATACAAATTTTTCCACTGCAAAAGTATTTGATAAATTATACTTAAATTAATAGTAGTTTATTAAATTTTGAATACCTTTTTATGCCGAAAACGATTCTAATGTTCAGAGTTTAAAAATCGTTTTAGTTTACAGTGGAGCGTATCACGTTACAGTGCAACGTAATCAACACGTTGATAACATCATTGCTTTCGTCTCTGAAGCATCTTGGCTAGTTTCAGTCTTAAGGAGAAAATATTTCATTACTGATTTTACCAGTGATACCTCACTGATCTTCCAATAAATTTGACGAATCCATGTTAATTTAAGGTCTCCCGTGCGCGTCGGAGCTCAACATGATGCAAGAATGCTCATAAAAAGAAGCTAAGCTAACACATGTAAAATTCACTTAAGGCTGGAAACGAATGATATCACAGAGGCCCCAACTGCTAGCAGCGTTATCGTTGATTACAAGCTGCTGTTTTAATCGCTTGCTTATAACACAGTGTTTTAATGACTGACCCTGAGAATCATCCTTACCTCTAATATCTCTAATATAATCGACATCAGAACAAAAGTATATGTATCTCAGAACGATACTTTTTTCGGATGCCAGAAATGAAATTGATTTTCACCGCAAACTCTTAAAGAACAATAATAATAAAAATAATTACTCATAAAAAGAAAACAAATTACCCTCTTCCGGAAAAGAATCTAACGTAATCTTTTTCTTCACGCCTGGGAACGAAACGAACGCAGGTGTTATCATGATAGTGTTTCATAGCCTTTTTTATGAGTTTTGTATTTCTCTCTGAGGCTGTAAAAAATAAAAAAAAAATTGGTAAATAATATGAATGAGAGAGACAAAAAATAGAGTCATGATCTTCTATATAAATCACTTTCCTATGTTATGTTGCGGAAACGTACACCATGTTCGTAAAACTGGCAGTTACTGCTTTAATAGACGCCAAAAAATATTAGCATACTTTGTATCGGCCAGTCTTCGTGCAAGTAGTGAAAAGTTGAAGTACTCTTTTCTTATTGTCTAATTATAATTAGTAAATATACATGTATGTGTATATGTGTACCTAAGAATCATTAATATGCAAACGTCATAATTTAAAATATTTTCAAAAATTGTTAATACATTTATACCAATTCAGTTTGCTTAGGCATTCGTTCTAAAAGTTGAAAATTTTTAAAAGTTTAAATCACCTTAAAATTCTGTTAATTGTTAAATATTTTTTCTTAAGACATTTTCCGGATAATATAGATTTTTCAAAAAAAAAAAAAAAACTTTAATCTTTTATCTCTCTCTCTCTATCTATATATGTGTCTAATTATCCAAATATAAAGATACAAGGAAAAATTGATTACCAAATTAAAACATAAAGAACAGTTTAATACCAAATTACAACTGAATTTAGCAGATTGACAATAATCCTTTAAATTACGAACTTTCAATTAAAACACAATCCTTTTAAGGCATCTGAGATTTCCCTGAAGTGTCCACATTGCTGTAAACGCTTGCCCAATCTTTATCCAGAATTAAAACCAAAAATTTCCAAGCTTATATATAGTTCTAACAACTAACTACACATCCTCTTTTGCTGCCTACACTTGCTAGTTAAAGGACGTCTCTTTTTTGGACGTCTTTAGTCTTCTGTTCGTTGTCAAAATTATAATAGGCCATAATCAAAACTGGGAGGGCACACTGTACCCGTTGCGATGTGCATGCCATTTAGCCATCAACAGGTAATAAAGATATGTTTGGATTGTCAAGTGATTTTGTAATTCTTGAAAAGTTCCCAGCATCTTCTATTACGTAATCAATATTCCACTGATCTTCTAAATTCAATCTCCTCGCGAGTGCAGAATGATTGGTCTCTTCCCTAATCAAGCACTCATCTTATATCAAATTATCTGCAAGAAACAATATTATCATCAAATACACATATGTGTATGTGTAATGGTTTTGAGCGATGACATGGGAAGGGGATGACAGAGTAATGGTGCGTAGAGATGTTAGCAGTCGTAGTGATCGATTGGCTGTTTGCAAATTTCAATACTTTTATTGGCTGAAGTATTGTATACACTGAAGAGCCAAAACATTATGAACACCTATTCAATAACGTGTTGTGCGATTTCTGGTCTGCAAAACAGCTGCAACTCATCTTGGTTTGGATATCGCAAGTTCTTGGTAGATGACTAGAGACAGGTTGTACCAAATGTCTAAGCAGCGGTCACACGAAGTCGATATATACCAACATGGTGGTGTTTGAGCTTTCACCTGCTGCTCCAAGACATCCCAAATTTGCTTTATCGGGTTTGGCATGTTAAGTGGCCAGGGAATAAGTAGAATTCATTCTTATGCTCCTCGAACCACTCGAACATTCGACCCTTGTAACATGGGGCGTTGTCCTGCTGGAGTATTCTATTTCTAGTTGGGAAGACAGACGCAACATAAGGATGAAACTAACCTTTTTCCGCAGCTTTTATGGTATGTTCTACCATAATTAAGGGTCAAAGAGCCGTCCACGAGAACGTTCACTAAAGCATAATACCGCCAACACGAGTCTGCATATAAGGGGGGGCAGTTGTTGCCCTGGAAGACGAAAAACCTTGACACTCTCATCGATGTGATGAATGAAAAATCGTCATTCATCCGGCCTGGCAACTGTCTTCGACTTACCCATGGTTCAGTCTCGATGTTCCCGGACCCACTGTAGCCGTAGTTGCCAATGACCCTCTGTCAACAGAGGCACACGAGGAGGACATCTATTGCGCAATCCCATATCTAACAGTATCCACTGAACTGTGTGTTTCGAAGTACTTGCACTTGGACCTGCACTGTATTGGGCTGTCAGCTGAGTCATTGTCTGGCGCCGATTTTGCTGTACCAAGCGGGACAGTTTCCGAAGACTTTTATCTTTGATGATGAGTGAGCATCAACATCTTGGATCTACTGCTTCTTAACATCTTGTCTACTGCTTCTTAACATTCTTATTAAACATCTTTACGTCTACTGATGATTTCACTGTCATGTATCCACTTTGCATAAGTGCTAACAATCACAGATCGTAAAATACCTACCAGTCCTTCAGTTTCGTTCCGAGTCTTTGGGCCATTACAATCTGTCCTCTGTCAATTTTGCTTAGACCGGAAACCTTTCCCATCACTCGTAAAAGTAAGAGGAAGAATAATTCTTCATCTTCTCCAGCAACAGTTAAATACCATTCCCACTTAATCACGTGCCCTCCACGTCATCCAGACAAGTACATTGAAAAAATGTGTTGATAGTCATAATTCTTTGGTTCGTTAGTGTAAGTATATGCGCTATTAGTATTACCTTAAACTCATGTAAGTAGGAACAATTTTGAAATGATGCAGTTTAGAGAAAGTTTGTTATTAGCAGTTACTATTTTCTAGACAGAAAGGGGAAATATCAAATTTAGAAGGAGAATTAAGATACTACTGAAAAGTAAAGTTAGAAATTTATCTTACCTATTTTTTTAATCTTACACAAGCATACGTAAGTACATATAATATATACACAATAGTAAGAAATTTAGAACCAAAACCCCAAAAACATGAAAGAAAGGAAATTTAAAACCAGTAAAAATCCTAAATCTCAAAATAAAAGATGTAAAAATTAAAACATCAACTCAGTTTTTTAACCAAAAGAAATCCTGAAATGAAAAAAAAAAAAAAAAAAAAAAAAAAAATTAAAAATACATATAAAAGAAAAAGAATGCAATTAAACTCTCATTCAACGTTATTAAGAGGAGGTAGATTAGATTCAATTGAATTCCAGTTCCTAGAAAAACCACTTCTTCCATTCCCCTAAAATTAGTTGATGAACTATTTAAATTGATTTAATTATAATAGTTTATTCGGAAATTCTTCTCTACAAGCGCCAAACAGGCAACCATTAACGTCATTTTTTCCTTTTGAATTACTGCCTTTTGTTCTTCCGATAGTAAGTTCAAACTTTTATTAATTTTATAAAAAAATTTGTTCTTAGTTAATAATAAATATATTTTGTAAATTATTACGTTTTAATGTGAATTTATTTTTTTAATAATAAGTATATCCTGCTTTACTTTTGCTTTATTATCAATTGAATTTATTTAATTTAAATTTGTTTTTGTGTATTTTTATTTCATATGAAAGCAAAGCGACTGTGTAGAGAAAACATTCAGAATTTTCGGATGAACTATTACAATTAAATAATTTAAAATGGTTCATCAGCTAGTTTTAGGAGAACAGAAACATAGTGTTTTTCCTAGGAAGTGGTAGTTAAATTGAATCTAGCTTCTTTTGATAACGTTAAGTCAGGATTTAATTGTATTGCTTTCCTTTTTAATTTTTTTTTTTTTTCATTTCGGCTGTTTTCGCGATTTCTTATGGTTTAAAAACACTGAATTGCTTGGTTTTTTTTTTTTTTTTTTTTTTTTTTTTTTTTAATTTTTTCATTGGAAGATTTAGGTTTTTACTGGTTTTAAATTATATTCCTTTCATGTTTTTGTGGTTTTGGTTCTAATTTTCTTACTAATTTGTCTATAATTGGTTAATTTTTCAGCAGGATTTTGCATAGAAATAATATCGGGATATTTTTGTTATAAAAAGTTTCTCTAAATATGATCAAAATTAAGAGAATAAACAACATTTTTGTCAAAATTTACAAAGCACAAGACAATATGTGATGAAATTTGGTACGGACGCTGAGCATCATAAGTTACAAATTTATACTGTTCAACAACGAAAATATCTACTCATAATCATGAGCAATGTTCACGACAGCAGGTGTATCCAAAACTAATGTTGAAAAATATAGCCTAAAATACTGCTAATAAAGCGTACAGTCATGTCTAACAACAGTAGTCGTCATCATCGTCATTTTCTTTATGAGACAGTTGATGAGACTCGGGCAATCACTTTTGTCCTAACGCAGTTCTTAAATCTGAATTGATTCTCGGAGACAATTGAAGAATTTTGCAGTTGTCCTCGCAAGTGCATTCCAGAAATGTTCAGCCAGTTTCAGGTCTGGAAATATGGTTAATAAACCCTTCCTTTGAATATTTTCATTTTGAAGATATTCGTTTACAGGTTGATCTTTACGTGGACGTCATATTACAATGCGCAAGCCAACTGCGCTGAAGAATCATACTTTAGGGCTCTAAGATCTGCTTTCAGTACTTCTGAGTGATTAGAGAGCAACTAGCAAGCGTATGGAGTGTCGTAGGTCCATACAACTTGATACTTACCCGCCGCCATAGTAATCTCCATCTCTAATACTGGAGCAAAGGTGTCTGGTTCTAAGTCTTCCCCGATGAATTTATGTCGACATGTTTTTGAAAATATAGGCATTTTATCTCAGTTCTACTTATTTTTGTTTCCGGGGTTGGTCACTCAAGCTCCAATTGAAGTAATGGATGAAACTTAATTTCCCTTTCGATTGGTAGTCCATGATAGTAAGACGATTATTAGGCATGAAATCTATACCATTATATGGAACCAGAAAAAAACATTTATCATGTAATTATAAATTCTAAAATGCGTGAATAAAATCAGTTATATAAAGCATTAAAAGTTCAAGCAATAGCTAAGGACTATTACTGGTATTTTTAATGATTCGTAAAATCAATTTGTATAGATGATGCTTTGTGCAGCTGATTCAAGCCTAAGGTGCATAAAACTTGGAGCACAATTAATGGAATTTATTTTGTCAGTTTCCTTCTCCGTATCTTAATAAGAATAAATACATATATATATATATATATATACTTAAAAATTTGTATATAATACAAATTCATAATTATGTATACATATACTGTGATAGGTATAAACAGATTGCGTATGCCTGCATTGGATAGGCATACACAAATAAATACATACATATATGTATATATACACTTAGTTATTTTATTTTGCATTATATATATAATGCAAAATAAAATAAAAAATGTTTTTATAATTTATTTCATATTCAGTTTGAAATAAATCACATGCAAATACCTAAAAACAGAATCACAGTGGCAGACTTCAAGAAATAGGGTGGCAAAACATGTCAAAACCAAAAAATGAAAAATTATATTTACATCTTTCTCTGCATCGTCATCAGAGGTTTGGTGCAAAGAAAGAAGTAAGTAAATATATTAGCCTGTTTCTTAACTGACAAGGGCACAAATTAAAAACATAAAAATAACATTAGAAAAGCAATAACCAGAGTATATCCGTATGCAGAATTTGTAGCATAAAAATAGACAAATTCAAAAAAATTACGAAGTAATAGACAAATTTCAAAAATATTTTGAGTAAGTCTAGCCCAAAAACAAAACTTGGAAAAATAATAATTCAACACTTTGAAAAACAAGACCATGCCCAAATATTTTTATTTAAAATTGGAAAAGAACGAAAGTAAATGCAAATATTGAAAACACATAGGCCGGCTTAAAAATGTAAGAGCATAACTCATAAACAAACAAAAATGCTTAAAAATCTAATGAAAATTTTCAATGTGAGTAGACAGAGTCCAAAAGCATATACAGTTGAAGTAATTAAACCTATGCAAACATAAAAGAAAAACGAAAATTTGATCTAAAAAATATAAAATACGTACTAAAAATAATAAAAATAGGAGTTAATTCTTAAAATCTGTAATATAAGAGCAACAAAAGTTTTGAAATGAAAAGAATATATATACTCTTGCATAGAAGCAAAGCCTAAAAATATTTTAAGATAAACTACGAATTTAAAACTGATTAGTATTAATAAAAATAATTTGAAAAACTTTTACTGTAAAAAAGAAAATGAATAGTTTCATAATGAACATCGAATTACATGGATTATAAATCTCAAAAACCACCAGCTTATAATATTTATTCCTTTTTATTTCTATACATACATATAGTTAGACATTAGTTAAAAAATTTAAATATAGAATAATTTTAATGATTTAAACTAATTAAATCGCGATTCGAAAAATAATAAAGAGAAAAAGTTAAGACTATGATAGTAATTTTTAATGTAACGATATTAAAATAGAGAACTAGAAATTGGAAAAAATTGAAAACAAAAATTGTGAAAAACTGAAAACGATAATAGAGAAAACTGCGAAATTGAAAACAAAAATTGAGAAAATTGAAAAACTGAAAACAAAAATTGAGAAAACTGAAAAACTGAGCACACGAATATTAAGAAATACACATAATGTTCACGTGATTACAATTTCTTACCCCTGGTTAAGTGCACGTAAGCGAGCTTAAGAGCACGTAAACGTTTAATAGTAAAAAAACTTACATAAGGAAGCATCTATGACGTAAGGAACGATCCCGTTTGGCCACCGGAACCTTTCCCCTGGAATTGCATTTCGTTCAGTATCCTGAAAGAGAAATTAAATTTTATCAGTGGCTCTATTTTGAACTATTAAATATAATGTAGTACCGCTGTTTAATACTTCAGCAAATTTTCGTTTTTGCTAATTCACTTATCCTTCTACTTAAACTCTATACATCTATATGAGCAGTTCCCTAAAATAAAGGCTGAATACGCACGCCACTGAGCCTGGATTCGAGCCCGAGGTAGCGTATTGTTGCATAAAGTTTGCAGAAAGGACGTACTTAAAATCTATAAATGCGAAACTGAGCGTTAGATAAAGGAAACGTCTTCTTATATTTAGACCGATACTCCCTAGTATCATTTGTCTAAATGAACTGAACAAACTCAATCTCTTCATGCTGCGCAAGATCATTAGAATCGGCAGCTATTATTAGAATTAAGTGATTTATGCTGAAAATGATAAAATATTTTCCAAGTTTTAATATATCGTTAGCAAAGTATTAATGATATAGGTTAGAAATTCGGTATGATAGTGCATTTCACATGCAGTGTCAGAAAAAAAATTCTGATTCACTTTCATGTGGAGTTTTAATCTATATTTCACATATTTTACTCAATACTTTGACTTTTTTAAAACAAGAAGATGAAGATCTGCAATTCGAAATATTTTTTTTTTCAAAATTCAATTTAGATTCTTTTTATTTATTGTCTATCATATTAAACGCCATTTGCATTCAAATACACACAACGTACCTTTTGTCCGCATGGTCCTTATGTATATAATTATTACCATAATTAGTTTGTAATCGTAACTATGCCGATGCCAGTTAAGTTAGATTGAGGGTAATGCATCTAACAACAGAAAGAATGATGCGGCTTATCATTCTCTAATAACGATGAAAAAAATATGATTCATAGTCATACATTTTTCAGTCTGGTGGGATATGGAACCCACATGAAAAATTTCGATAGAAAAATAAGCTAATTCTCTCTCATTATATCAACAATGATTTAATGTTTTTCGTCTTTCTCATCAAATGAACGTAAAAGCTCGAGTGCAATCCAATATTTCACCTATATTCAATTTCAGTCGATTAAGTGTGGCAAAAAAAGGATCATAATTGATCAGAAATCAATAACGCGAACAAACAAATAAACACATAAGCAGACATTCTTCTTTATATGCATAGATTTTGTAAAACTCACAAAAGTGAGTGCAAAAATTAGAGCTTTCAGAGTTTGTAATTAATACAAGGTGTGACACAAAAAAATGAGACTGGTCCAATAAATCAGTGTACTTACAGAATAAGTTCTCCGTGACATTATCACCTTCAAATTAGTTCCCTTCAGCATTCACACACTTCTGCATTCGGAGTTGCCATTGTTGGTAACAGTTCTGGAACGAAGGTTTTTGAAGGCCCTTCAGGAGATTGTCCGTTTTTGCTTGAACGTCTTCAGCTGAGGTAAAATGGGTACTGTTTAAGTCAGATTAAACTTTAGGAAATAAAAAAATGTCGCATAGAGCCAAACCAGGTGAATAAGGAGGATGCCCCATCACCGTAATGTTTTTGCTGGTCAGAAACCGTTTATTGACAGATAGGGCTGTGTGAGCGGGCGCATTGTCCTGGTGCAACAGCCATCCGTCACTCCACAACTATCGCCTTTGTTTTCCTAATTTTTTCAAGAAGTCTTTTTATTACTTCAATGTAGTAGTGTTGAAACACAGTCTGACCACTGGGAACCCATTCAATCATGATGAACTTGCTGAGCGAGCCCTTCCATACTGTCCCTTTCCACTGAAAACCCTTTATGCCATTCAAACACACGTGCATGAGACAAAGTTTCATCTCCAATAAGCATCGGTTAATATTTGAAATATTTCCTCCGTGGCGTATTTCTTAAGTTTCACGTTAAATTTGACGTTGATTCACTGTTCGGGTTTTTCCATTAAACAGTTTTCTGGCTGAATGCAGTTGCACGTGTTCACACAATAATAGAGTACTCCCCACTGGCTTGGTCGGCTAAGTCGAAACTGGCCGCATGGATAGAGGAGGTGTGTGTGGCGTGATGTCATCAAAACAGTTGTTGCCAACTCCAGTCTGTTTTCAAGCTACACACTTAGTCTCTTTTTTGTGTGTGTCACACCTCGTATTTCGGCTGATTAAGGTCGTACGAAGATGGAAATAGTCGAAATGGCTTCTCAAGAATTTTTGGAATCGGTAATAATGTATTTAATGTTTGGTAATGCTATTTTTATTTCATCGTAAAACTTAGAAATATTTTATTAACATATTAACTCTAGGATTTGAAAGCGAGCAGTGGCAACAACTTTTGAAATAAAGCAGATTTTTATCTCCAGCTTGCGAGACTGCTGCCATTCGGGTATATCAGGGAAAAACTATTGTTTTTCCCAGTTTTTAATTAATATCTCTGATTTTAGCTGCTTTTTTGTTTTTGAAAAATGTGGACGTCGACTTTTCTCAGGTCCCAGAAAAGAATCGTAGAACCTTTGGTGACGATAGCTGTAGTAGTGACTAAGTTATTAGCGAACAAACAAACACACAGACTTTCTTCTTTATATATATATATATACATAATACTATAATATATATACTATATTGATTATGTATTATTATTAGAATTAACTAAGCTATTACAATAAATGTATTTTTACATTTATAAAAACAGATACAAATACTATCTTGTCTTTTACAAATATATTACGGAACACTTATGATACTTTAATCAATTAAAAAAATAATAGCGGTCAAAGACCGCAACTGTGGTGCTCAGTATGTTAAACGATATTTTGTCTTTCTTGCAAATATCTGGAATATTTTAACCTGGAAGTCTTAAAAATTTTTATTTAATGTAATTAGAATGGTGGTCTTTCGGATGTAATGTAAGTTATATAGCACACTTAAATTTTTTGAACATTTCATCTATCCTATAGTATAATAATTTTACTATACAAGTACTATAACTAACTTAGTTCAGCTGCTTGAAGAGATAACTTACTAAGCAATCATGTTACATTATTATACTTGCTTGTTTGTATTCGATTTTGAAACTAATGCGATGCATTTTGAAGTAAGATAGAAAATTTTAATAAATTATAAGGTATTTCTTGCACTTTTCTAGCGTGACTTCATGGTGTAGTGGTCTGCACGCTGGACCGGTATTCCGGAGGTCCGTGGTTCGATTCTCGGCGAAGGCGTTGCTAATTTATCATCTTGCATGCTTCCAAAAATACCTAATGTCCTACAAAATAAATTTATAATTATAAAAATGTTATAATTTTGAATTAAGAAGAAAGTGGTTATGAATAGAGGAGCCTACTACCAAACGATCGGGTTTCGAATCCCGGAGAGGGCATGGATGTTTCTAAATTTAGAGTATCTTTACAATATGGGGGGCACTTTAAATATATATGGTGAGCCAAAAGACTTCTCAACAGGTTGCTGGTAGGAGAAGAGGGGTGGGAGACTCTAGGACCCGTTCCCCCCCGGCGTGCTCTCCGTGAAAACTGTGGACGAAACTGAGCGAAGTGTTACTGTGACCTCTATGGTGCTCAAGGTTCTTGCCAACGACATGCACAATCTTGCTCTCCTTGCCAAAATAATTTTCCTGGGCTTCTTCTGATGTTGTTGTTGGGCAATTGAGGTAGGTCGCAACCACAACAAGTGCAATTTTAGAAAAATACAAAAATCTAATTTTTAATGTGGACTCCTGTTTCCTATACTTATATCTAGAAAGGTTTTATATTTGTTATAAAAAATAAAATTGTAAGAAGTTTGACTCCTGTAGAAGAAAAATTCACAGGGCTATTTAAAGTTTCCAGTTTTTGATGCCATTTTCAACTTGCTTTGAGGGATCGGTAATTCAATTTAGAATAATTCGAGGAAATAAGTTTCAAAGAAGTGCAGCAAAAGATGTGTGTAATTTAATAGGTCGTACAAGAAAAATGTGTGGTGTTCACACGAGAGTTTTTATCTGTAGTTAAAGGTGTGGATTAAATTGCATAGTAAACATTTTTCTTCGAACTCAGTTGCTGTATGGGTCACTGATTTATGGAACTGCACTACAAGATATCAAAGTAAGCCAAGTAAAAACTTCGCTTCCAAATTCCTTTCCCTATATGAAGTTTATCCATCCTAAAGCCTTAGATCCATTTTTAATGCATGTGCTGATTAATCACAACTAGTTGTTATGTAAAAATCATAAAAACAATCTTGTATTTAGCGTAAGAATATTGAAACATTCAATCGATTTCGAGGGCAGCTAAAGGTCCTTCCTCATCAGCAGAAAGAAAGAAAAATAAAGGGGAAGGAGTCTCAGAAACACGTGGTCCTTATCAGCACTGCACCTGGTTATAAACGGATTTTTAATCAGATTTACACTGGCCGCCTACTTTTACTGAGCCAGGCTATCTGCTCAAACATATAACACAAAGGACAAGAAAAATTAGCGAAGTTAAAAATAGGAAGCGAGGGGCAAATGCATCTTCACGCTCAAAATCTGAACTTCGAATAATGGAAAGCAACCACTGAACGGATTTTTATACCCTCTGGTAGTACCAAACGCGAGGAGGTAACGCCATCTATTGGCAAAAATCACTGAATTAAGATAGTAGAATTTTAAAGGCATTAGGAAGGACTGGATTGGACTTCAAATAATTAACTAAACATGCTAAATCTTTGTGAATATGAAAAGCCTCAAGAAAATCCAATTCACCTATGGAAGAAGCCTTTTGGATAATTTTTGCAGCCCCAAAGTCAAAACTATGGTTAAATGTCCAACTATGATACGCTATTGAAGACTTGTTGATTTCGCCTTTTCTGACATAAGATTCATGTTCCTTGATACGAAACTTCAACGCTCTTTTGTTTGGGGCAATATATCTAAACCACACTGAGACGATATACTATAAATTCCCCAAGAATTCAAAACAGAAACGCAATCTTTTAGAATCGAAGGATGAATTTTATTAATAGGGGAGAAACCGACTTGAAAATTGAATTTCTGGAGAATCCGCGCAATTTT